CCTATCAAACCATTTCTCGTCCGCGAGAAGCCCATGGGCCATCACAGCGTCGCGAGAGCAGGCCGTACTGCCAGCCTCCACAGTGAGCTCTACCGCGTCACGGTGAAGCACAGCGACCGACGCCTGCCCGATTAAAATAGTGCGGGTGAACACAGCGTTCAAGCGTCGCTAAGGCTTGCGACCCCCACTATTCCAAGCTTCGGTCCGCCCGCCCTTCCTGGATCTTGATCTCTGTGAGACGGACAAACGTCCTCAAATTCTGGGACGCCGAATATCACCATTCCACAGCTTCAATTCAGTCAGTTGAGGCTCCAGTAGACATTTTCTAGTGTTTCACTCGCTCGTTATTTGGCCAGCGGCTGAACTATCCATCTGCGGCGATTTGCGGGGCCATTGTGCAGCGAGAAGGAAGTGTGGCGTACCTCCAACCCCCATTCAACGAACCAAAAATAAAAACGGGGTGCAAGATGATGACGAGAGCTCTGGAAAATGGGTCAAATAACGGCACAAGCAAAACTAAATCGTGAGCGTGCTACAGAGCCGTTGGCTCAATTCCTTTTGCGTATGTGAGTTTTACAACGAAGGCATTCACCTCGTACAAAATCCAGAGCGGTCGGCGACCTCTGAGTATCTAAACATGCTAGTGTTTCGCTCGCTGATGACATTTCCTTAGGGGGTTTGTCACTGCATATTTTTCGAGTTAATTTGTCAGGGAATTTATCGGGCGAGCCCGTTCGTCTACTCTGACTGAGCCTCCACTGAAACTCGTAGATAATCTCCAGTGCATGGCGAGAAACCTCCTGCAACTGGCTTCCGGAGGGATCTACCCAGTCTACCGTCGGGCCATCGTCGAAAATAGGCCGCAACGCGATAGACCAGCACACCTGGGGCGGGAATGACCATGGCGAGGCGAACGGTACAGGAATAACGCACCCCCAATATGGCATCGAGATATTGAAAGTCCTTCTCGAAGAACATGCTCGTTATTGCAGCTATGTGCTCTACAACTTCGCTGTGTTTGCGCCGCAAGTCCTGCTGGAAGGGGACAAACAACGCATAAAGGTCGGCGAGCGCGGCAAGGGCCATGATGACACATGTCTTGAATGGGAGGACCTGCGCCTCGTGGATGAAGGATATTTTGAGCAGCGGCGTATCGACGACGGTCAGATAAACATGCATGTCCTCAAAAGATTCCAGTAGCGGTCCGACCACATCATTGCGCCCGGGTGATCCATGCGGGTGGAGTTGAGATTTGATACGCCCAAAGAATGAATCAAAAGCCATACCCACTTCACGGCCCTATTTCGACACGAGTTGCTGGCTATCGAAGAGAAACAGGATGCTCCTTGCGCGCATGAAATTGAGCTCGGTGCTCGTCCGGTGTGTCTTCGCCTGCCCAGGCAAATGTAATCGTCTTCGGAATCAATTCGACCAAGATTCGACATTCATGTGGTTATTCTGCGGCTTTTAATTTCCGCCTCCAATTTTATCCCTCTAATTTGCCTGCTTCAAACCCAGATTATTTGGCGGCTTTGGCGGGCCATGAAGGATCTTTAACTGCGGGCTGAGCCCAATATAAATAATGGGAGGGCCATACGGACCACGAGGAGAGAGGAATCGACGACGCCGCTCTCCGAGCGAGAAGTCATCGCTGAGATACCAACGAAATGGTGGCGGTGAGCAGCGCTCCGTCGAACAAGCGTAAAATCGCTCTCGTGCTTCTGCTCTGAGCTCCCCTATTGATACATCATTTCCGATACAAGTTGGAAAATGAGGGAGAAATCTTACTCGGAGGGATACGACGACCAGAGACATCGCAGCTTTGGAATTCAGCAGTTTTCTGGGTTTAACACTAAGAGGAATACAGCGCACGCTCCGTTTTTGGTTGAAGTTTCACAGAAGTACGGAACCTTGACAGAAAATTGTAATCATACATGACCCCATGGCCGGTGAACCAACCTCCTGCGCATCTTAATCGCTATCATACACAGATCCCACCCACTACGCCGCCCACGGTTGTGCGACCAACTTGACCCCGCTCACCTCCCCGCGCTGCAGCTTCGCAAGCCCCTCCTTGATGCCCGCAAGACCCCCCGGAAGCACTTCCACGCGATTCGGCACAACCAGCCCGTCCTCCACGAGCCCCGCGATATTCGCTATGATGACGCGCCCGAACGCGCGGTGCGTCGGTGGGTGCACGCTGCCCAGGACGGGGACCACGGTGCGCTCCGGCGCAGCCTTGATGAGGCTGAGGCCGGCGATGACGATCGTCCCGCCGGGCCCAAGGAGGTCGTGCCCGCTCTGCTGCGCGTCGGCGGAGCACACCGAGTCGAAGACGATGGGGATGGGAGCAGAGGTAATCGCCTGGACGGCTGCGTGGAGGGCAGGGGGCGTGAGCGGCGTGGTTGTGCGGTCGAGGACGTGCGTCGCGCCGAGGGAGTTGAGGTGTGCTGCGTGCTTCGTCGAGGCGTAGGCGATTATGGGGCTGAATCCTGAGAGCTTGAGGAGCTGGATTACTGTGGGGTGTGGTTGGTTTGGAGATATATATATAACATAGCATAGTGGAGACGCACCGTATTGTCCGACAGAGGAGCTGCCGCCGATGACCACCGCAGGCTGGCCGGGATAATGAGCCTTGCGGTCGAACGGCGGGGTGAGGCCCGCACGAGGGGCGAGGGCGCGAAGAGACCGAACGTGGCGCACATGAAGGCGACAGGGATGGACGCGGCTTGCGTGTATGTGATGTTTGCGGGGATCTGGGGGGTGATTAAGCTATTACGCACGATGCAAGTTGAGTCATCCGCGGACCTTTGCGGTGACCTCAGCTGCGATGAGGGCGTACTGCTGGAACCCACCATTTTTGCCGTCGAAGACAGAGCCCTGGAAGAATCTGCGTCCTATCAATGTGAGAAGCAATTTGCGAGACCAACAGGAGACGCACACGCGATCACCCTTCTGGAATCCCTCTACTCCCTCACCAAGCGCCTCGACCTCGCCCGCAAAGTCCGTGCCCAATACGGCGGGAAAATCTTCGAGGAAGATGCCGTAGGCCTGGATCTTCCAGTCCACTGGGTTGAGGCCCGCTGCGTGGATCTTGACGAGGAGGTCGCCTGCGCCAGGTGTGGGGATGGGGCGCGTGCCGAGCACGAGCGCGCCGTTCTTCGACTCGAGGAGGAGCGCCTTTTGGTGAGATTCGGTCATGGTTGTGGGGAAAGGAGGGGTGGGAGCCTTTTGATTTCGATCTTGAAGCAGTCGATGGTGCGAGATGGTGCGAGAAGCTCGCACGGCTGAAAACAAACGTTTTGTCCCAGCCTGTGATGGCATCAAAGCCCGGGACCCGTTCCATTAATAGCCTTGTCCGGAATTCTGTTTGACGCTCGCAGCCATGGGAACTTCGTTAACCTTTTGGGGCGGCATGAAATAGGCCAGGAGGATCATCCCGTTACGCTCCAGCGACTTAGATATACTATCCGCGGAGTTGCGCGCGATCGCCCGGTACATTCCTGTTAGTACCAAGTTGGTACCTCGAGGTCCAGGTCCGCAGAGCTCGAGGAAAAGATCGAAGAGTTGTTGCAGGAAACGAGCGAAGTGATCCAGATCTACTGTGATTGAAAGACGGCCTGGTTATATGTCGGGCTCGGAGCATTCTATCGGAACCATCGTGCGGTATGCTCAGATTGCAACAACAATACAAACCGTTGCTCAGGGTGTAAATGGGGTTCAACGCAGCCGGATCTTCCGCCTGATCATAAATTCGATGTGCGGCATAATCTCCTTGATGGTATGTGGCTTGTAAATAAAAAAGTTGTCTGATTCCGCTGAAATTTAGGCCGCAACCGACAGGATCAATGCGCGCAATCCTTACCTTCTGAGGGATCCCGGTGCCACATGTGCGTCGCTAGAATTCCACCGAAAATCCCAGATTCCGTCCGCTGTTATGATGACTAGGTTCCAGATTAATGGCAAGTATAATTCCTCCACAAAATCTCCGCGCAGGGATATTTAGACTATATCCCTCGATTTATGGACCGAGTCGAACCAGGTAAAATCATATGTCCCAATTTAATCCTCTGTTCTGCGGATGTCAGATCTCCGAAACTTCGACCAGAGGCACGCAGTATACGCGCCTGAAATCACTTGGTTCCTCAGCGCGGATCGCCATCGACGACATCGCGTCCAGCAGGCCAGAAAGGACAGAAAGAGGACGGCAACGATGGATGTGAGCACTCCACCCGTCAGTCCTGGTCTATCTCTCGCGGAATGGAGTGCGGTGTCCTTGAAAAGCATCAAGAAGATGTGGAGGTTCTGAAGCATGCGGCATGCCTGGAAAACTGCGTTGAACATATCCATGAGCGTGGTTTGAGCGTCGTTTCTGAGGGTGAAAGTACAGCAAATGAGATTTGAAGATTAGCGAGCCTTTGAAGCGCTGTGCTCTGGTGCTAGTAGTGGGAGCAAGAGTGGAGAATCGGAGTTTACACTGCAGCGGTGATCGGAGCGCTTACCTAATTCACCGCCATGGTATGGTTCATGTATCTTACATAGCTTTTAGACGCTGCGAATCGGGAATTTGGTTAGTTAGTAGTCGCGCTCGAGCCTCACAGCACCTCTTTTTGGAGCATCCGTTGGCCGAAGGCGATCATTCCTGGAAGCTGTAAAGCCCCTGAATTGCAGCCGCAACATTGGGATGAATTAGGGTCTCTCGGCCTTCTGTAGTCGTCCTTTTTCATTTTCTTCTGGCTCAGCTTCAAGCTTCAAAGCTTGGTAGTAGGTGTGCTGCCGAGCCGCCGTCCTTGATGCCGATGGCTTGATTCCATCAAACGTGATGCGCCGATCAAAGCGTGCTATGTGCCATATTTTGAAAATTAACCTTGCGATAAGCGCCCTAAGAAGGAGTAAGGTAGGGGAATGGGAGAATGTCGAACATTATTGTTTGTCCCCAGTGGTCAAGCAATCTTCGGGGAGTCCTGAAGGAAGTGGAAGATGGTGGAATGCAAAAACACTGACCCCTGCCCGGATTGAACGGACGGCCTTCGCGATACACCAAGGACGATATAGAAGACTGGAATGCGACGCTCTACCACTGAGCTAAGGGGTCCTTTTCAGTTTCAATCCCTGCACAGTTATATTGTGCGCAGGTTCATTGACAGAACTTCCGCAAAAATTGTCCGATATTCTGAATTTCCCCAACATCCAACGTCTGAGAATTCAACCATCAGTTGTGCCCCCATTCGTTGTGTACAAGTATCCGACGTCTGCGTACACACATATCGGGAGAATCAATATTTACCTTCCCCTTTGAATACACCGGCGAAACAAACGACGAGCTCTGTGGTTCCGCGTCCTTTCCCAGTACATCGGCAAGTCCCGCCGAATTAGGACGTGTATGGTAGCGTTTTCGGTGTAGTGAGCTATATTGTGGATCCCACTTTGGCTGCAGGCTGACCTGCGACTTGGAGCATTCGAAGAAACAAATCTATTCGGTGAAAGACTGTTTGAAACGCAACTCAAAACTCTTGGGACTCGTACAGGGTGGTGTGCAACCCGGACATATAAGGAAGAGAATGAGGATATACCCCAGCATTGACAGAGCGTACTGTCGGCCAACACCATCATATTTTGAACATTAGGTCAGCGACATTAATATTCGGTCAAAGCCCGGATAATTCATAGCAGTATGCTGACACTTTGTGATGCCCCGTCCAGCCTGTGCATTGCGGAAGTGAGCTGGCCAATGATATCCGAGCCCCCGGTGTTACTCGCTCAGAGCAGGCATGTGGGGTGATTTGTGTTGCGTGGTGACTCCCGAGTTGTTCCTACTACTCGTCGCCGGATGCGGCGCTGCGGGGTACTTATTGGCGTGACTCGACCTAGTCTGACTCGAACGAAGTTATTTCTGTATGACTCGGAATTAATGTGACTCATAGCACTAGTATATAAGGACCTGTAATTTTCCTCTGAAAAGCATCTCACTTTTCCCCCATCTTCCCTGCCAGAATCTTTGGTGAACATAAGTTCAGAGCCACGTTTACCCCGTGTCTCCTAGGTCACTCTTGTAATTTGTGCCGATAGTGGTATCCAATCAGCCTCTCTGAAAACCTATTGTCGAAACATTACAATATACATATATCCGAAATGGTCCATCTCTCCGGTCCCACCATCATCAGAAATTCAATCCGCATTCGAACATGGAAACACGAAGATCTGCCCAGACTCATCTCACTACAGCAGATCTAGCGGGTACCGTCTTCTGTCCGTCTATCGCCGGATTTGCTCGATTTTGGCTCGGTATATTCTTTGGGATGTTCACGATATGAGCAGTACGAGTCAGGCATTTGTTAAACTTAGGCGTAAGATATTTTAGAAAATTATTCCGTGAAGGTTCTCACATCTTGATTCTGGCGCGTTGGAATTCGTGTTCCAAACTCAAGCTACGCGTCCCACAGATTGATGGTGCCGCGGATGTGGAGCGCGCCCTTGACGATCTTAGGGGCCGCCTTGGCGATACGTCTCCTTCAAAATTAGGAGAGAGTCCATGAGCTTGCGTCGAGGAACTAACTCGAGATTGATAGGGTTCGACGGTGCCTAACTCCTAACCGAACACCAGGAAATGCGGCGTCATCCGCTCAGCCGTAAAGTGGCCCTCTAGAGAGCAGCGGTCAATACTTCACGATGGCCACGACGTACAGCGCTTGGAATCCCCAATTCAGTACCAGGGTCATATCATGAGTCAAGATGCCTATGGAAAAGGAGAAACACAAGGATCGGCACGCGCACGCCCCTGTGTCTTGCACCATTACGATCGTGCAAGTGGTAGGGGTTAAGAGATTATCGCCGGGGTCGTATAAAATGTACCGGAAATCTTCCCTCGTCCCATCAAAATATGGCGCCTCTTCCAGTCGTTACCTTTATTCTCGGTGCATGGGTGCGTTTCCGAATTTATAATTCTTTCTTCATGCTGATTCGGCGTACAGAATCTTGGAATATCTGGCGACCTGCTCCTCCAGGGTGTTCTATTTGCCCAGTTCACTCATTACATCAGCCTATACAAGAAAGACATCCTGCTCCTGCGCGCTTTCGTTGGGGGCCTCCTGGTACTCACGACGTTGAAGACCGTACAATGCCTGTAAGTGATCTCATCATTGCTTCGTGCTACACCCTCTGATCTCTGAACCAGAGCGATGCTGTGGGCTCAAAATGTAGTATACTTCGTCGACGTGTTTGGCGCGTTAAACATGTTCTACGCATTTTGGCCTACCGAGATCAACGTCATGTTCGTTGCGTTCATCGCGTTCTATGTCCAATTATTTTTCTGCCAGCGCCTCTGGGTGAGCTCATCCGCTAACTGCACATTCCGCATGCTAATATCGACCCAGGCCATATCGAAGAACATTTACATCGTTGGTTTAATTGTCGCGCTGTTTGTCTTCGCCCTCGTCGCTGCCTTCGTAGCGGTGCGTCTTTTGCTCGGAATGGGATCAAAACCCTGATATTTGTACAGACCGCCTTCATTTTCGCAGACAACTCTTTGAAGGTTCGACCATGGCGTACGTGACTACGAACGAGGGCTATCTTTTGCTCATGTCCGACCGACTTTCTTTTCAGTTGCGATTAATTTGTCAACAGTTTTCGCGGGGGATGTCATTCTATGCGCGAGTACCATCTATTTCCTGTTGGTCAGTCCCACCAGTGATTGCACCCTTAGGCGCAGCTGACGACTCTCCTCACCAGAACCGCTCCAACGGAGCGATGCCGCAAACAGCGGGCATGCTGAAGTCCATCATGAAGCTCACATTCCAGGTGCGCCGTCATCCCCGCCAAATTGGTTGATCCACTAATGGCTGTCTCTCAGTCGGCGGCACCAGCCGCGCTATGCGCCCTCATCAACTTGGTAGCGTCGCAAGCCGGTAACAAGATTGCCACCGCCAACGCCTTCTCCATGGTCGCCATCATCGCCAACACCTTACTGCCCAAACTTTACGCGATTTCCGCGATGTGGACGCTCAACTCGCGCAGGGACCTTCGGCTCGCGCGCTCGAACGGGCAGAACACCAGCAGCACGGAGGGGACGAGCGGGCGGCGGGCGCGCACGAACAACGTGGAACTTGGCATTCTTTCGGGAGCCGGGAACCGCGTCCCCATCCAGGTGCGGACGCAGGTGCAGACTGTCCAGCATTCGGATGACATGTTCTCGAAATCGGCGCTGGACTATGTGGAGGAGCACGATTCTGCAACTTTGAAGAACTAGGTGTAATGGGACGTCTGTATCAGTAGCTTGGGTTAGTTACAGTATCCAATTCACGTAGCGGACCTCGAAATGACCGCACATTTCTCGACGCCGTGAGGGGGTGAATGAACCAAGACCGCTCCTGGATCACCATGCGCACTTGACTGTGCCTTACATCATTCCATCCTGGGGACATTTTTACCGCCCGTGGAATCTGCAATTGACATAAAAGTGGTGAATAGCGCTGGATGCGACGCGCGCAACGAAAGTTAGATTCAAGAAATATATTGGTTCATGGTATAGGACTCAAGCGTGCACTGAGCCTAACTCTACCCTGTCGCAGCATTGAGCAAGACGCAGTACAAGCCGAGCGAATACGACATACCTAGCTAGTATGGATTTCTGTCCCATCTGTGCCTATAGCTCCCTCAACTCGATCGTTTCGGGTGCACGGTCGTTCTCCCAGAGCGCCTGGACGACGTAGTTGTAGATGTCGGCGAGGGAGAAGCGTCTACGGGGCTGAGGAGGAAGGACATGTTGAACAACGGGCAGTAGGTAGATGAAAATGGGAAGGAAACATACAGGCGGAGTCGGGGCCCCAAACGTGTCGGCCGCCGAGTAGACGGGCGGGGCGTCGGAGGCGTTCGCGGCGGGGTTGTATTTGGGCGGGGCTCCCGACGGGCCGGTCGCTGCGTATGTGGGGACGGGGTTATGCTCCTCGGGATACATCGTATCGAAACTGAAAAGAACAATGGCAGGTATGTCAGCATCCGCAAAAGACAGGCAGCGGCGACTTGCCTTTATTTCAGCGCGGGTAATGGTTGGCTGTGGCTGTGGCTGGGGCTGTGGGTGGGTTGGACAACAGTCAGCCTGCCAAGCAGGCTAAGGAGCGAGCGAGAGGCGGGGGTGGCTTAGAATCGTAAAACTGAGCGGGGGTGGTGGTGGTTCGCGGAAAGAACTGCGCGGCCTTTCCGTGGTAAGCAGCGCGGCGAAAAAAGGGACGGGATCGACTCCGTCCATTTAGAGTAGGGCTTCTTTGCAGCACCTAAATTTACACTGATATCCCTGAAAGAAACATTTATTACTTCGTCGGATTGCCCACATTCTGCGCGGAGACGCAGCCGCCGAGGACTGGATTCATGGGCGAAAAAAGCCCGTCCTGAATGAGAAGAAAACGGGTGAGCACGCTAGGAATTTAACCGAAGAGATTTCGACATACAGATCAAGTCACGCGTCAGCGCCGTCTACTACAACTTCTCTCCCCAGCCTGATCGACAATGGCGCGTCAACAGTACCGACGTGCGAGCGCCCACCCGCCCACAATCGCGGGCCAAGATATTCATTCCATCACTCCCGCAAGAGGAAACAACGACGGACGAAAAACCAATATCATCATGCTCAAGCCGTCTTAGAGGCTCACCTCGGCGCTCTTCCTACACGACGTCAAAGGCGCCCACCAGGTGACGCAAGACCTCAGCGGAGGCCGAGTACAAGTCGGACGCCCCAGGCGTGAAGCGTACCGGACACGCCGTGAGAAACGAGGATATCCGCCTCAGGTGCGTCCGCAACGGCCCGTGGTGCCTCGCGAGCTGAGCGCCGCCGCCCCGCCCGCAGATCCAGAGCGAGGGCCTCGGGCTGTCGTATTCTCCTCGCAAGCCGGTCCCAGTCTCCTCGCAAGACGGGCACTGGCATTCGATGCTGGGCTAGTCGTCGTCCCGTCACGTCAGCGTCGCAAGCGCCCAGGCGCCTGCTCCTCCTCCCCGTCGTCGTCCTACCACCGCCATCGCTCATAGCCCCGAGTTGGGCTGGTCTACGGTTAGCCCCGCGGCGGAGTCGGTCCACCGCATCGCGTCGGGTGCGCAGCTACATCA